AGGATGTGAACAACACATAAACTCATGACCATGTGACATCCATTAAAGGTATTTCATTGTGTATAATGCTTTCTGAAGCAGAAATGTAAAAGACCAATTCCATTAGTCATGCTTTTTTTCATATTCATACAAATATGACTATAATGAAAATTGGTCTACTGCTGTGGGCATGACTGTGAGTCCCACAGTAATAAAACAAATGTTTTCTGGGTCCAGGGCATTTATATGCAGAAATCATCTTCACAAAGCAAACTTTGTCTAAAACACAAAGGTTTTATTTTTAAAGGAACCTTATTATATTCAAGGACGTTGTTATTGATGTTTATATCAGATATAAATTAGGAAACTTAATTATAAAATGGTTCTAATCTTCTGTGTTTTGATCAATTTATGTCTATTCATTCTAAAATTAAATAGAGAAAATGTGTTTTTCAATGAGCCAAAAACAGTCTTTGAGGGCTGAACAATAGGAAATGTGGAGGTATTGTTCTGGGTAGGTACTCGGCTGGTTAGACTTCAGAATCTATGTGTTAAGCATGGGCAGATATAAACTCATTGAACTATTAAATCAAGTACTGTGTGTTTTAATTATGTTTAGGAAGCAGTTTAAAATACCAGTTGATAAATTAGCTCAAGTTTAACTGAGCTGTTGTTTTGAAGCAGCTATTATCTGGGAGAACACTGTACACAGTGTGAAATCTAATAAATAATAGCCTGAAGAGAAAAGATTTCATCTTCCAGTGGAAAACATCACTGGTTGTGTGCCGAAGGCATTTTGATATTGTCTACCTTTACTGATTTAAGAAAATCCAAGATAATACAAAAAAATGTTAGAGTTGCAGAAGTAGCCCAAACTATTAAGTTGCACCTGCATGTAATTACTCACTAAACTCAGAGTGTAGTCATAGTTTCTTGTCTGCCAGGGAGCTCAGAATGGATATAAATATGGTTCTGGAGGAAAGAGCATAGATGGGGTCCGCAGATGGCATGGATTTGCAGTGTGTGATTCAGATTAGAATTAACTGAAGCAGTACAGGTGATTCTTCTGATGGTGGTCTCCATCATTAATGCAGCATGGCGAGTTTGGAGAGTACATTCATGGAAAGTAAGGGAAATAACTGGATTTCATTCAAAAAATTATCTGACCACATTTAGGAAAGCTGTTTATCTTAGTGTAATACATGAGCATGGATGGTTATCCATACATGTAAAGCACTTTTTGGGGAGAGAATTGCACACAGATCCAGTTAAATAAAGCTGTTTAAGTTGAGTTTTCAAATCCCAAACTGTAGTGACTACAACAGGTACTGAACAGCAGATGGATATGTGCTCGTGTTCTTGCTTGCATGGTGTACTTGCTCTCCCACTCCAGGTAGGAAATTAGTAGGTCAAAGACTTCAAATGCCATCTGGTTACTGCAGGTACCAAGCTTAGAATGATAGAGTTCACAACTCTAACCCAATGCAATCACTTACTGTGCAGATGAGGAAATTGATCCCCTTATCAAAAATTTAAAAATTAATGAGTTAGAATCTGGATTACAAGTTGGCTGTCATCCATTATACTCTCCATAATTGTCATTGAGCTAAATAAGGTGCACATATTCTTGAAAAGTCTAGTCATGTCTCCAAAGAGGTTTTAACTTTATTGAACTTTTGTTTTAAAATAGAAATTACCTTAACCACAGACCAACTCACCGAAAAGTAATTATTTGAGTTGAACTGGAGAATAAAAATTAGAGACACATAGCTCTCTGAGTTGCAGAAAAGGTGACTATAGGGCCAGTATAGATAAATGCAGGCCCCACAGAAGTGTCCCTTTCACCTTGTGAATTAGGGACCAGGGCAGAAGCCATTAGAGCTAAATGGCTGCAGAGGAAAGAACAAAGCAACTCTGACCTGAGGAGGCTCCCAAAAGTCTCCATATTTTCCTTGGGTGAAAGATGAAATTGAATCTCCAGGGAACCAATGACTGTCCCTGACCTGGTTGTCAATGTCAGTGTAAATCAGTAAAAGTCAAAATGCCTTGGCTGGGCATCCACCAACCTGAGGGCTGTTTGCCTACATTCGTTCTCAGTACAAACTGAAGAATAGTCCCAAAGGAATGCGAGGGAAGGGTGGAAAAACATCTTCCCCAATAAGAACTTAGCCCTATTTTGTGGTGATGACAACAGGGTGTATTACTAGAGAATCCTTACAAGTGCCTTGTAGCCACACTAATGCAGCAAATAAAATTGTTCCCAAAGCTCCAGAAATCATTTTATTCTTGACCTCTTAACTTCCCAGTTCACCTATGAGTACATACATTACTGAGAATAGTTATGTACCAGGATTATCTGGTAGAGTGATTACTTTCAATTCACCAAATTAAATTGTCTTTTGAAAATACTAGTGATAGGTAGAAAGAAGCTGGTAAAAAGAAATCCATCTATAATGCTACCACTTGCCTCAATTCCTCTCTCACTCTAGCCACACTCCATGCTGTTCTTTGAACACATTCGATTTCAAAGCATGATGGACAGAGCCTCTGCCTTGTTGCTGCCTCTGCTGGAAATACTCCAGCCCTTCTGTCTTTAAGTCACCTTCATAGAGGTCTACCAGACGCGACTATTACTATGGTGATCCACACGCCCAGAAACCAGGACTCCCTACCCACCCCATCATGGTTATGGTGTTTCCTTGTAGTGCTTTTTACCTTCCTGCGTACATGATCATTTGTTTATTATGTTTATTGTCTGTTTTCTCCCACTACGATATATAAGCCATACAAGGAAGTAAATCTTTTGTATTTTGTTTGCTTTTTTACCCTCGAAGCTTAGGACATAGTAAATACTTGTTAAATATTTTGAAAATTGACCTCCAAGGATAGTTATTTGAAAAAGGTTCTTACAGATTTAACCTACATGTTGCTGTTTTTTATAACAAGGAATTGCTCATAGGTTAGTTGTTTTTTGTTTGTTTGTTTTGTATTGTTTTGCTTTTTGAGACATGATCTTGATAGGCAGTTCAGGCTACCGTCAAACTCACTGTGTAGCTCAGACTGGCCTCAAACTTGTGACAATTCTCCTGCCTCAGCCTCCCAAGTGCTAGGATTACAGGCATGTACCACCACACCTGACATTCATAGATTACTCTTGCAATATACTTCTCATTTTGGTTAATTGGTCTGTAGGGGATTAGTCTTCTCAAAAGGCTTCAGTTAGAGCGATAGTAGAGCCAATATTCAGGTTTACTCTTGAGGCACATGTAGATTACAATAAAAATCAGTAAAAGAGACTAAGTAACAGAAGTTCCATGTCATATCAAACCATGTCCAGATGGTCAGGAAATAATATCAGAGAAAGAAAATCTTTTCCCTTGCGTAGCTCCCTTGAAATTGGCCAAAATAGGGATGGTCATTTTGGTATTACCTCTACCAAAAATTTTTTTAAATGACTGTGGACACATAATGGTTAAAATTCAGGGCTGCTTGTGCAGTACCTCTGAGAAAAGCCAACATGTTACGATTCTTATTTTAGTACCCCAGGAAGCATGTTTGGAAGGAAAGATTCTAGCTTGAGATGCACATTGCAAGAAATCTATGAGATAACAAATATCAGCACCACTTACCTTAATCTGCTTAGGCTTCTGTAAAACAATTCCATAGAATGAGTAGCTTGTGAAAAACCAAAACTTATTCCTCAGAGTTCTGGAGGTTGAAACATCCAAGGTTAAGACACTGGCAGATTTGGTATCTGGTGAGGGCCTGTTTCCTAGATTATAGATAGCACCTTCTGGTCATGTCCTCACATGATGGAAGGGAAAGGCACCTCTTGAGGGATTCTTCTATCTTGTTCATGGGACTTCTGGCCCCCTGACCTGATGATCTCCCAGAGGCCCTGCCTCCTAATACCATTACCTTGGGCATTAGGATTCTAACATATGAACACAAGGGGAAGGTGGACACAAGCATTCACACTGTAGCACTGCTTCAAACCTTCAGACTGTAGCACTGCTTCAAACCTTACAATGTGGCCCATGGGGCCTTCTGTAGCCAGTGGACTCGGGTCTGAGAGCTAGGCAGCCAACTGTCCCTTCAAAGATACCACATACTGGGCCAGGGATTTAGCTCAGTGGTGCTGCCGCCTCCCTCGCAGTTATGAGGTCCTGAGTTCAATCTCAGGTACCAAAAAAAAAGATACCACATACTGGTCAAAAACACAGCCCTACAGAAATTGCAGCCACTAGTAATCAGAGAAATGGACCAGTTGACCAGTACAGCTACCAAGAAGATCTTCTTAATGTTTGTATTAGTCAGTTTTTCACTGCTGTGTCAAAATACTTGAGGTAAATCAGTTTATAGGGAAGAAAGGTTTATTTGGGCTCCTGGTTTCAAAGGTATCAGTTCATAAGAGGTTGGCCTTCGTCTTTGGGCCTGTGGCAAGGGAGTACATCATGTTAGGAGCACATAGTGAAAGAACCTGTTAACCCCTTGGCAGCCAGGAAGAAAAAAAGAGAGACAGGAACAGGGTTCCAATATCTCCTTCAGAGGCACACCTCCAATAACCTAACTTTCTCCCACTAGCCCCTATCTCTTAAAGTTCTGTCACCCTCTATTAGCACCATGGACTGGAGGCAAAACCTTTAACACATAGATCTATGGGGAGCACTTAGGCAAACCATAGCAAAGTAGTACCCCCTTCTAAGTAGTACCCTTCTTTGCTTGGAGTCTTTTGGTGAGTCCTCCTATAATTTCAAATTCTTTGTTTAATAAAAATTACCCTTCATACCTGGATTTTTTGTCCTGATGTTGATCATATTCTCAGTAGTCATGGGTCATCCTATGTCTCTCCCACTATATGGTGGACTCCAGAGCACAGGGATTCTGTCTTACTTGTTTTAGTATCCCCAGTTCTAGGCCTGCAGTGGATCTCAGTAAGTACTGGTTTATTGGTTGGTAAATGAATTGAAATGTTATGATATTGCTAAACTCTAATGTGGCTATGTCTTTTCCTATTTAAGGACTTTGGCATTATGTTCCTGCACCACCTTGTATCTATTCTGTTGATCACCTTTTCATATGTCAACAATATGGCCCGAGTAGGGACCTTGGTCCTCTGTCTTCATGACTCAGCTGATGCTTTTCTAGAGGTAAAAGTTTTCCTTTATCTTTATTAATACAAACACCAGAACTCATGAAGTCCTCAAGATCATAAATTCTTCTGTGTTTTGCTACATGGTACTCTGAAACTCTGGGGTGTTTTTTTGCAGTTATATTAATGAAAGTGAGACTATAGTATATAAACTTTTATACAAAGAAGTTGATCATCTTAGCTTTCTTTATTAATAGAATGGTGAAAATCTTTACTGTTTCACACTTTAAATGATTTTTGCAATGCAAAGTCATTATTTTGCTTGGCTTTGTGTTGTAAATTTCACACTGGTTTACCTGAAAATTGTAAATAACCTTGTTTAGTTATTAATGGAAACAAGACATCCCAATAAAATGAAGTAGTGTAGTTTTTTTACCAATGCACATGTTTTCTTAGTATTTTTTACAATGAAAAGGATATAAGAATTCCAAATTATGTGTAGAAACTGTTTAAAGAATTTACCACTTTTTTGTGTATGTGTACTGGGATTGAATCCAGGACCTTCACACTGAGCTACATCCCTAGCTCTTGTTTTGTAATTTTTAAATTTTGAAACAAGATCTCACTAAGTCACTAAGTTGCCTAGGTTAGGCTTGAAGTTGTGATCCCCTGCCTCACAATCCGAGTGTGTAGGGCTTAAAGGTATAAACCACCACACCTAGCTAAGAATTCACTGCTTCAAGAGTCACGCTCAACAGTATTAATTGTGGCTGAATAAAAGGCTTTTTGCTTTATGTTAATATATTTATATGACTGGTCAAAATTAATTTACAAGAGTGCACATTTGAAAGAGTAGAATGTGTCTTAGAATCTGTATTCCAATTTTTAAAATTACTGTTGGCTCACTGGTTTGCCACCTTAGACACATTTGTCCTTACTGTGAATACAGAATCAAATTGTCCTCAAGTTGTGATGTTATTGCAATATCACAGAAGTCTATAACATTGAATCTGCTATTAAGGAAACGGGTTAAGGTTTGAAGTAGATGCAACACCTTGTTAAAACTCTGGTCCCAAAGGAGCTCTGAGCCTGTGGAGTAGACAACATGAGCAAAGCTCATTCTCCTGAGCTGGAAAGAAAACTGCATGGACAAGAAATTATCATTGAAATTAAATGGTGGCAGACACGTCCAAGGACTATTTTGAGGACTTGATCCCTTTTGAATTTTGTGATAGGGGAATGTGTGGAGATGGCAATTAGTGAGCAACAGAAAAATGCTGCAGTGGTGGTAATATGAGGAGTCAGCATCATCACGTTGGCGGCGTGGAATGAGATTAAATAAGGGCCGTCCATCAGAAAAACCCATATCCCTCTCCAGAGAGCCACTCTCACTATGACTGAAAACTGGCTCATGTACATTTTCATAATACATTTTTTATTAAATTAAAACAACCCGATCCCTTTCATACTATAAAACACAAAGATAGCCCTAGTGGGCTAGATAAATCAGAAAATGATTTGGTCCTATAATTTTTAAGTGACTCAAGCTCAACTCTATTCAACATATTTTTAAAAGAAGAAATATATTTAACATGAGGGCAGTTCCCTGAAATAAGTTATCATTTGGTCAAATCCTATAGCTCAGAAGTAGAAATTTATACAGCAGCCTAAAGTGGGGTTTTGGGGGGGGTTTTTTGGTATTGGGGATTGAACTCGGGTCCTTATGCTTGCAGGGCAGGCAGCAGAACCACTGAGCTAAATCCCCAGCCCCAAGCAAGTTCTGAAGTTTTGAAATCAATCCTGTACAGTCAGCCAGCTTTAATACTTGTGGAAATCCCTGCCATGGTGCTTGGTAGAGCCAAGATTCACAAAATATTGGTTCATAGGACAGGAAGTCCCATTTGACCCCGCTATTCTACTGCTGGGGATCTTCCCCAAAGAATTAAAAGAATCTTACCACAGTGATATATGTGCACCCATGTTCATAGCAGCACAGTTTGTGATAGCTAAAACTTGGAAACAGCCCAAATGCCCATCAACTGGAGACTGGATAAAGAAAATGTGTTTTTTTTATAAAATAGAGTACTACTCAGCCATAAAAAATGAGAAATTAGAGACATTTATGGCTAAATGGATGCACATTGAGGCAATACTCTTAAGTGAAATAAATAGGACACACATGTATAAATACCGAATAGTTTCTCTGGTGTGAGAAATTGAAAGTGTAAAAAAGGACTAAAAGGTATAATAGATAATGTGAAATAGGAAGAAAAGGGGCAAAGGGGAAGGAAGTAGGAGGGCTAGGGGAAAGGAAAGAAGGGAATGGGATTAATGTGAGAAAATGGAAAAATAGGAACAAAATCTTTGTAAATAGGGAGGACTGGAGGGGTTGAAGGGAGGGCTGGGCAAGGGTGAAAAATAAGAACCAAGAGAGACTATGTAAAGGTGCAAATTTCCAATGATGAATGTCATTATATTGTATACCTAAAATGTACCAATGATTAGAATGAACAATCGAAAATGTAAAATAGGAAGAAAAAGTCCAAAGGGGTAGGGGTAGTGGGAGGGGCAGGGGAAAGGAAAGAAGGGAAAGGAAAAATGCTGAGAAATGGAAAAAATGGAAATAAAGTCTTTGTAAATAGGGAAGGGTGGAGGGGGTGAAGGGAGGGCTAGGAATGGGGAAAAAATAAGAACCAAGATGCATTATGTAAAGGTACACTTCCCAATGAGAAATGTAATTGTGTTGTATACCTACAATGTACCAATAAAAGAATTTAATAAAGTGCCAAAAATAAATAAATAAAAGAATAAAAAAAGAGAAAATATTGGTTCACTTGTCATCTACTACTTTTATCCAGAAAAGAAAAAGAAACCCGAAATCCCAGTCAGATAGCTTAAGAGAGTATTCTTCATTACCTGAATTCTCTTTGACATTACAAAATTACTCTTAAGAATTTCTAATTAATGAGGCCTTCAAAATGGGACCTATGACCTAGACATTTAGGAAAAGTTTATATTTGTGCTTATGGTAGGTACTATAAATTCTATGTAAATTTAGGTACTGTAAATTCTCTGTAAAAATGTAAAAAGAAGTGATCAAGTAAAAATCTGTTTTCAGTCTCACCTCTTCTTGGAGTCAGCTGAAAAAGTGATGGTAGAGAAGGGAACATGATTTCTTCCCCAGTCTAATTTATAATAAATAAAAAATGGTTACTTAAGTCATTGTCATAAATTATGAGAGTACTTCTCACAGACACTTTGAACATTAGTGACGTTCATTTAAAAAGTGATCTAGTACTGTAGCTCTGAAAACTGTACCTAAATGGATTAGTTGAAATAATATGATCTTGATACTTTCTCACTTCTAAGTTTATGAGACTAAGCCAGGAAACTGTCACCTCAGAGTACTCCCTGTGCCTGTTTGATGAAAACCTATAATTCTAAGCGGAGAGGAAAACAGATGCACAAAAATTCCATATAGTCTGTACCACGCTTGTGGGCTCAGTATTTGGGACTCAGTAATGGTTTAAAGGATTATCCAGCACTTTCTGTTTTGACCTGTTAATGCCAGATTTCTGTTCTGGCATCTGGCTTGCTAATATTATCTATAATGCAAAAGTTTCTTATTTTTCCTCTGTTTTCCTGAAATCAACCATATAATTGAATTTTTCAGGTTGCTGAATATTTTATTAAATCTGTGACAGTTGGTAGTTCTACTTAGAGCTAATGCTGCATTTTATTCACTTATGGGTAATTTATAAATACTGATGTGTGATGCGTGACATTTTAAAGTAGCAGGAGATTTTATGCATCTGTTATCTTATAGGAGATTCATGCATATTGAAAGAAACTGTCATTTATCAGTTTGACTAAATTAATATGATATATTCTTCCCTTTGACAGGCTGCCAAAATGGCAAATTACGCCAAGTTTCAGAAAATGTGTGATCTCCTGTTTGTTATGTTTGCCATGGTTTTTATCACCACACGGCTGGGTATATTTCCTCTCTGGTGAGTATGCCAGTCTTCTTTCTGGTCAAGGCATCCCTTCCAAATAAACTTTGCAAAACATTTTCCTTTTGAATTTCACTCCAGATACTTAATAAAAAGTTTAAAGATAGGGAGGGACTCAAGAGACAGCTCGATTTCTTCTACTAAGAGAGTTGCCTTCTTTACTCATGTTTTCCACAGCACAGTTAGAGAAGGATGTGGCTCAGTTAGGTCCTAAAGCCACAGAAAGTATCCACCACTTTAGGCTGTAGTCTAGAATATGACTCAAAACCTCAGCTCTGGAGGTTTGAATGAAGAAAGGAACAGTGTTGTAAGGAGGTATATATGAGGGCCCTCTGTATCAGGAGCTGACAGAGGGTAGCCACTTGCCAACAGCACCTAAGAACTTGCTAGAAATGCAGATTCCTGGCCTCATCTGCGACTCATGAGTCAAACACTCCAGAGATAACGCCTGGTTATCTGTGTTTCGATAAGGCTTCCTGATGATTCTGCCACACATTAAAGTTTGAAAACCACTGCCCTGAAAAATTCTCCTCATCAGCTGTATTTATAGCTGAAGCAGATGGAAGGCATAACTCTTAAACCCTGAAATTGACTATGGCTCCTTAATGTCTAGATGGTTTTTTCTTCTTTTGAGAGCTAAGAAAAAGATATGACATATTTTGATGGAACTTGGCAACCCTTCCCATAGAAAGTAGGTCCTCTGTCACTAATCTTTTTCTGGAAGGATATTTGATCCAGAAAAAAAGAATAAACCCTTCATATAACTTGAAGTGTACCATTGATGCTAGATTATTTGTTTCTATTTTAAAATATTGATTTGAATGGGAAATTCAAGCAGTAGAAATAGGAGAAAGTAGACAAATGAAATGATACAATAATACACTGACTCTCTGCTCCAACTGAAAAATAACAATAATGAAGTTGAAGTCTTGAAGTGAATAATATCTATCAGTAGGATTCCATTAATGAGTTATCAACACACTCACACCTGCTCATCTACACATATATCTGTACACAGGGCTTCTCCCTGAGGCTTGAGACCCTTTAGACACTTTCTTACTATGAAAATTATTTCCAAGCAACAGCACTCTATTGGCAATCGACATTTATAAAACCTCATTATAGTTTAATACAATTGGAGGTAGGAAACACTGAATAATTTTGAATATAATGTGTCTATAATTATTCCAGCATTGGAGCTCTTTGAAGATTACTAGGAGAACTAGGAATAAGAATTTAAATAGAACAAATTCAAGCACAATCCAGAGATAATTCCTGTGGAGAATTACAGAAAGCTTTTCCTACTCAAAATTTCTGAGAACTGGAATTTTTAAAGAAATACGGTTCACTATTGAATGCTTTGATTTGCTTCTTCCATTTAAGGATAGTATTAAAATTGAGAGGCATCTCTTCTCTCTCCCTGAGGTTAATGTGCAAAAGCTCCTGAGGTCTAGACAGTTACTCATAACACAGACCCTCAGAATTCTCAAGGGTTCAGAATCCTGTCTCCACTGCTTAATTAACACCTTTGTGCAGAGATTTCATCTCTTCAACAGCAAAGATAATGGTGCCTACTTCATTGTGTTAGGACATTAAATGAGATCATATCTCCACAGCGCTAAGAAAAAGGTTAGGTTCACTGTAATTGCTATGTAAGTCTAGGCATTTTTTTTTTTTTAGTGACATGATAAAATGAAAGCAGAGTCCTCTTAGGAATCATTAAGAAAAAAAGGCCAATAATTCAATAGAAGCATTTGGAATGGCTCTTCGTAGGTACATTTCAGAAAAATACAAATGACAAAATTGTAAAACTATATTTACACACCTGTAATCCTAGCACTCTTGAGGTTGAGATGGGAGGATTGCAAGTTCAAGCTCAGCCTGGGCAACTTTGGACCCTGTCTTGAAATTTTAAAAAAAATTTTAAGGGCTGGGGATGTAGCTCCCCTTCATACGAAGGCCCTATATTCAATTCTCAGTACCACAAATATGTACATATGTACACACACATATATTATTGCACTTCAAATAAAGAAATATAAATTACAGCTTTAGGGACTAGACAGTGCTTCTACAGGCCAGGACTGAGATCTAGGACGGCACAAGTCTCAACCCAGTATTTCTTACTCATGGGTGTGCGTGAGAATTGGAGTACAAGTGGGACCCCTTCCCCTACCCTTGGAAATTCTGATTGACGTGGTCTTGGTGGCACCTGAATGTGGTTTTTTTTTAAGGCTCCCTAAGTTACTGTACTGTGCAGCTGTCTCTCCCTGTGTGTCCTTCTGCAGTCCCGGCAGAGATACTGATGCAAGGAAATGCCAGTGATATACCAAGTAAAATACAAGGCATAAGTCTTGTACCTTTTCACAAAAAATTTATGAACTTTGAAAGGAAGTTACGCATACAGCAAGTTATTTCTCTCTGGGTTGAGAATGTATTAAAGATGACTTCTTTCATCATACTTGCTCTGTTTTAACCTTTCTAAAGTAAATGTGTATTGCTTTTGTAAACAGAAACTTTTAATTTAAAAAAACTTAAGTGATTTCCCCATATTTGGTGAGGAGAGGTTTAATATTGTGTATTACCATATTAATTTTTATATCAACTTTATTGAATAGAATTTGCATGCCATAAAATTGACCCTTTCAAATTACACAATTCATTGTTTAATAGTATATTCAGAGCTGTGCAGCCATTGCCATAGTCAGTTTTAGAATATTTTATCACCCCTGCAAGATAGATCCATTAGCAATCCCTCTCCATTCTTCCCTCCACCAGCTCCTGACAGTGATTAATCTACTCTCTCCATGTATTTGCCTATTCTGGATAGTTTCATACAATAAGGCTTTTTTTGTGACTGTGTCTTTTCACTTGGCCCAATATTTTCAGGGTTTACCATGTGTTCATATGAGTCAGTATTTCATCCCTTGTTATTGTTGAAAATATTCTGTTGCATGGATATACCACATTTTATTTATTCATTCCTCAGGTGATTGTTCTGGATTGTTTCCACAGTTTGACTATTAGGAATAATGCTGTTACTGATCTTTATGTACAAGTTCTTTTTTTTTCTGGGACTGGGCATTGAACCCAGGGCTTTTGCACTAAGCTACATCTCTAACCCTTTTAAAAATTATTTCTAATTTGAGACAAGGTCTCACTAAGTTTCCCCAGGCTGGGTTTGAACTTACAATCCTCCTGCCTCAGCCTTCTAGAGTGCTGGAATTACAGGTGTGTGTTACTATATCCTGCTTATACAAATTCCTGTGTGAACACTTTTTTAATTCTCTTGGGTGTAAACCTCGCAATAGAATTTCTGGATTATATAGTAACTCTATGTTTGACTCTTTGAAGGGTCACCTAACTTTTTTTCCAAAGTTGTCACACCATTTTACATTCCCATCAGCAATGTACGGCATCCTTACCAGCACTTGTTGCTCTCTGAGTGTTTGTTTTATATTCATCCTTGTAGGTAAGAGGTAATATGTTACTGTAGTTTTGATTTGCATTTCAAATTATTATTCATTTTTAATTGTTTTCTATTATAAAAGTTTAGTCTATTTAATTATAAATGTGATAAGACCCTTATCAGGTATATAACTTACAAATATTCCTCCTTTCCTGAGCATTGTCTTTTCACTTCCTTGATGGTAATCTTTAAATCACAAAAGTTTTTAGTTTTGCAGAAGTCAAACTTACATATTTGTTTTTCTTTTATCACTTGTGCTTTGATGTCAAAAATAAGAAATCATTGCTAAATCCAAGGTCATGAAAATTTAATCCTGTATTTTTTCCTAAGAGTTTTACAGTTATAATAACTTCTCATAGGTCTGTTTTGTTTGAGGGTAATTTTTGTATAGGATAAAAGGTCAGGATGTAGCCTTGGCCCTGCTAACCTGCTGGCGTGTTCGGGAGGGAGAGTGTTAAAGTGGCAGCAGCTCCTCTTAACCGTACCCACCCCACACACACAAGCTCGCAGCAGAAGCCCATGCCTTGCCTTTTATTGTTTCCAGTTTCTGATGCAAGATTGAAAGACAAGAATCTGAGTTGGGAAGAAACCATTATAACCAAATAGTTCAGCCACTGTGTGGATGATTCCTGTGGAAGCAGACTTTCACTCTCTAAGACAGCCCCTTCCAATTCTGCACTGAAGTAACTATGAGAGAGTTCTGCTGGGCTATCAGTTTACCTTCCAATACCTCCCCTTTTCTTCCTAGTTGGACCCTAATTCCTGTTGTGTACCACAGCCCAGCAAATAAACACAAACAAAACAAAGGAAAACTCGCATGCTTCTCTTACCTGTTCTTTGTTAAGATGAACATTGTGAATTAATTCAGTTTCCTTTTTCTCTGACTTTCATGCTTGTTTTCTCTGATTCTGAATTGTATTGCATGGAATCTTTGAAAGTAGTTGTGTGCGGTGGCGCACGGATGTAATCCCAGCAGTTGGGAGGTTGAGGCAGGAGAATCGAGAGCTCAAGGCCAGCCTAGGTTACATAGCCCAGACTGTCTCACAGAGAAAAAAGCTATGAAAGTTATAGTTTGTCAGAGCTGTATGTAGGTTTCTCTACCATTTGTTAGTAATATGTTGTTTTGAATTAATACTCTTCTGATTATACTATATGATAAGTGAAATAATCTTGTTAACAGTGTCATGGATCTCCTCTGTTACATGGTGTTAATCCCTGTAGAAACACTGTCTTTTCACATTTTACTAACATAAAACTCTGGGATCATGACTTCATAATATGACCATCCTAAAAGTCAAGATGATTGGTCTGTATTTTGTATTCTCAGTAATAACATCCTTCCGTAGTAATGACACAGTTATTTGCCAAAGTGAGTAAGCATGTGGACTACATTAAGAGTTTTACTGCTCTGCTAGTTTTGTTAATATTTAGTGTATAGTTCAGTATTTTTTTAGGAATCAATTTTTAACATATTCTTATATAATATTCTTCCTGTATCAAATGACATCTGTGGATTTAGGTAGTTTCA